TTATGTATTATGTATACATATATATTATGTATTATGTATACATATATACACGGAGAGTGTGTTTGGGTAAAGTTTTAATCTCACCTCTTCTCCTCCGTGACTATACTTTCCCGTCCGGAATCGGAGTAGAACACCAACCGACCGGTCTACCAGCGTTTCCCTTGATTAATAAATCGTCCATGAGATGTATATATGTTTATATATATCTATAAGTTAGGTATATATACTTGTAACTTTCCGTTTGTATAATAATATTATATATACAGACATGGAATCCTTTTTGTCGGTGGTTCTTCGACCTTCCGTAGCAGCAGCCTCTACATCACCCAAACGCCCCCCCCCCTCCTCGAATGTACTGTAACGCCGGCAGCTTGTCCGTCTGAAGTCCACGAAAGCGAGGAACAACGTTATACACAATAAATATAAAACATATACATGTATATGTATAAATAATATATAAATTAAGGGCACACTATGAGGGTAGGGTTGAAAATAAAATCCTTTTCGAGCACTCTCATCCTCGGGTATTATATACGTCGAGCTAAATCGGACAACTATCACCATCACCCCGAAGTCGAACAATGGAAAAAATCGAAAGCTCTCCCTATACCAAATCTATATTCATATATATTGTATATATTATGCGGTTATTAAATTATACCACCACTACTCCGGGCTCGAACGCAAACTGTATTTTACGTACGTGTTACGGAGTTTTTCGAATAATTTACACAAGTATTTTTTATACATTTATTGTTTAATAGGATATTATAAATACACGTAAAATACAAAGTGTGCACGCGTCGACCCAGTCGTAATCTTGCACACTTGAAATCACGGTGGTGCGCTGTAGGAAGATAAGAGATTCGCGAGTTTGATCTAAGCCCAAGTCTAAGTAGAATTAAACATTACATCTTGACAAAATAAGTCGTATGTGCATGCCGCGGCGCATTTTGCGCACGATAAATCTGATTTCGGTACGATTTTGAATTATGTATTGTATTAATAATGTTACAGTATAGGAATATATATATCATATATGTATAGTTTGAATTACGTATAAAATAATATATAGATATTACAAAACAACGTTTGATGAAAATCGATGTTAATAGTAAAACGGTGATTTTTCTGATCGAGCAACTTTTTTTTCACAAATTTATACCTCAACTTTTATAAAGTATGTGAATGTATTATTACTCGAACGTTTCAGATCCTTTTAAACACAATACTTAGCAAGTTTGAAAACGTAAACGGCGAAAGTTTCTTAATGTCGCGTGACCTCGTTGAATGACTATATAAATAATGGACAAGTCATTGAACGTTTCGAAAACTATTCCAATGACTTCAATATTGAATTTTGGAAGTAGGCGAAAGTGCGCAACGGGTTTATAGTGTGTACGAGTTATGTTTGACACGATATTGAAAAAAAGTTTCTAGGTATACGTTTTACACAATCGAAAAGCAATAGAGTTGCTATATATATATTAATAGCAGTTGGCTTTCGAAGTTTCGTTAATATCAATTTGTTAGCAGTTATAATTTATTGAAATAATGCAGTCGCGAAGCTTTACAAAAACAAAATATTATAACCACCTGTAAGTATACTTAACATATATAATATTATATATCTGTATATTATAATATGTGTATATGTGTATTTTCTAAAATGAGACCGGGTACGCGTATACCTATAATTGGAAATGTTCAAATATTTTTAATGAGGCTTTACTTGTGTTACCTATTTCGGGTTCAGTGAATGCGTATAAATCCCGGAAATTTTAATGTTTTGTTCGTGATAAGCATAAAACATAACACAAAATCCAGTTATATTACGAAGTTGATGGGCAAAAAATATATTTTAATTATGAGAATAATATGTAGGTACCTACTACCAGAATATTTTATCTTACTTTTTATGCTTGACCTAAATAAAGACCATTTTTTTTACTATATTGTATTATAATATAATGATTTCGTCTCGGGTAGTGTTTATGTACTATATTTAAATCTTACATATTATTATTATTATACGAGTCTATGCGAGATACTCCCGAGTCGTATTCGAGTGGAATTCATTTAAAGCTAATTCATATTCAGCATGTTCGACTTACTTAAAAGTATATAGTGTGCACTGTACACACACTGCAGCCTCCCACATATAAATATAAAAAAACCCATCATCGTAAAATACGTCTCCGTATCTCAAAACTCGCAGGTTTCTGCCGCCCGTTACTTATTTATCCCATAATTCATATTATGTTTTTCAAGACATGAATAAAGTGTGCCGTACCTGTGGGTTGATATATATATAATATAATATGGATTTGTTCGATCTTGGAATATCTGCAGAGAAAAGGATACGGTTTATGAATTTGTAAATATATGATACTTGTAGGTAGGTATATATACCAGGTGTATTATATAAACGTAAAATTTTAGACAAGTTATTTTTTTATCAGGAAAAAAAACAACTCTTTATATGTATGTGTGTATGCGTTTTAAGTTTAAGGGCAGCTTATTTTCGTTGACGAACCCTCGGAGTTGGTAAAATTGAAAAATAATAAATACACAAACCGCCACCGCCGTCTGAGCGATAAATAGATAGACAGATAGCTTGCCGCCGGTATAGCCGTATATGACATTATCGTAAAACCATGCATTTTATAGAAATGTTTGAAATTATAATAATATTATAATATTTAAGTTGAACCAAAACGTTATGATACTGTAGCAATGGCGGCCTGTCGTGTGACTAAATCTTTCTCTGGGGTGTGCTTTAAGCTATACTTTTACCGAAGGTATAAAACGAAAACCTAACGAGATAATAATAATATCAAGTTTTTTTTAATCATCTGTTTCAGGGAGCAGAATCGTCCGGAAGTATCCCGTATTGGTTTTCATACACGGAGAATCGTACGAGTGGAATTCTGGGAACCCGTATGACGGTCGAGTATTGGCCAGCAATGCGGAATTGGTTGTGGTCACGTTGAACTACAGACTGGGCATATTGGGTAAGCCTAACAATTTGTTAATAATAATAAATTATCAAAATATCTCATATAAGTAGTCATCACAGTATGATTGTTATATCTAATAAGTTTCTGAATTTTAAATATTTCACTTGACATTATGAAATTGATAGTTTCATGAAATATTCGGAGAAAATAAATTTTATGACATTTTAAGACCTTAATAATACATGAAAATATAATATTGTCATCTGTTTATGATTTGATGTCATATTATGTTGAAATTAAAATAACACACGTACGTATGATCCCTACAAATGACTTTGTAATTACGCTCTACGAATAACAAACAAAAAATAGAAGATTATCGTACATCAATTTTATTTTATAATAATAAAAATAGATGTTATAATAATAGTATGTACACAATATAAATGATGCGTATTGCGATATTCAAATACTTATTATTGTTATAACTTTCTTAAATCCACGAGTAATGTAATTTTATATCAATATGATATGAATTTAACTATTTAGATATGTAAACTTTGCAAAGATACTAATAGATAGGATATTTATAACCTTCCTTTTTCCATTAGATAAACATTCAACTATTAGTTATTACTTATTACAGTTAATAACCTCTGTCTTAATCTCAAATAAAATGTACCTACCAAGGTACACTATGATACTTCTACTAAATTGTCTAAAAAATTTATCTGCAAGCTTAGAAAAAATTTATAAAATTTAAAATTATTAAAATAGATTTTCAGTTATAATAATTTTTTTAAAGTTGAGAAAATGTCTACAACTATTGAAACGATTAAGAATTATTGAATAATAGGATTTGGTTAAAAATTTGAAAAACAATTAGTACCTATATAATAAAACCATTTAATTGTAATCATCTTATCCAATTAAATATCGATTTGTTGAAATCAACAATATTGGCCTTGTACATTTTTTAGAATATACGAACTTTCATTAAACGATTTTAACCAACTGCAGTAGCCAATAGCAGCTACCTAGTTGGTATAACTTTTAAAATTAATTGTATTATTTATTCACATGGTTGTAGTATAATATTAAAATCTAGAAATAACTCTGAAATTGGTATTTGATAAGTGTTTACCTAGCGTAATTTTTCTGAAAATGGTTTTCTCTACAAAATTCACTTTAACATTTTTATTTTTTAGTTTATAAGTTTTTTAGCATTACTGTTATCATAAAAATAATTAATTGAATATTTATCCACATTGATAATTGAAATGCAATTTGAACAAAAAACATATTTTCTCCAGTAATTTAACCATAATTAGTTTTTTCATTTAATATGTTTATGCAAAACACTACATAAAAACTAAAAAGTATAGAAGATAAATTGCCTTAAGCTGTTACTCTCATTTCCTTTATCCGTAACTACGTTTCTAAAAATATTCAATTCTTTTTCTGAAAATTGCTTTCTCCACAAAGGGACAAAATTCGCTTTAACATTTTTCTTTTTTAGTTTATACGTTTTTGTTTTCTACGTAGGTACGTAAAACACAATATACTACCGAAGATACATAGGTAGTATAAATATAAAATACCAGCATAATATCGAAGTTAATAAAAAGCTTATGATGTTTAGTATATTATATTGATGCCAAAATGTATGATTTAAATGATTATTGTACACGGGTTTTTTTTTTAATTTGTACAATATTAATTTATAATTACCCGTGTATTAAATATTTTGTATAATATGTATTCATGCGCAGATGAAACTTTCGTAGTATATCTATAATATCTATATAAAAATTGGATTTACTTACAGTAGGTATATAACGATGTTCCGTTTCACTATTCGGTGTATAGAATAATTAATATCTATAAATAGAATAATATTATAGTGTAAATTAAATATAAATGAAAATAAAAAAAAACAATATATTTTATTAATAATAATGTTTTATAACTTAAAAACGAAAGTTATTCAGTGTGTATCTATACTGTGTCTATGTCTATCAAGTAAATACAAGATCGTGGCAAAAACTTAGCAAGTAAAATATAAAAACAATGTTGCCAACCCTATCTGGCTTTTTCCTTTCTTTTAACATTTAGAACCGACTACGTCGTGGAGATTGCTTTTGTCTTTCTTCCGCGGGAAAACCTGCTTGTTCCTAGAATACTGTTAATAAAAGTAACAGCAATATAACCTGGTATATGTTAGTGACCATTTAAAGAAAAAATAAAATAATTTTTAATTTTCGGTTAATACCACCGACAATTTTGTTTTGTGAACATAATTATTAATTTCGTTACAAATTGTTATTTGACTTCAATAATAAAAATAAAATGTCTTCTTGAATTATTTATAATATTGTTAAATTTTATTACGGTTCAAAGATATATTTTAAAAGAACTAAAATTGCAATGTATGGTTTTAACTATTACTCGAATTATTGTTATTTATTAAACAACACAGAATGGATGTTATTCCAATAAACATTTATTTTGAGTAAGTACTGTTAATTTACTATTTTCATTATAATTAGTAATTTTATACTTAATTAGCATCATATAATAAATCAGTTTGTAGTATTTTGTATTTTTATACATTGTTAAGTTACCGTTTAATAATAATAAGTATGTATAAACGTGTTTTTTTTCCCTTATAACTTGAGTGCTTATGTATTCTGACAAAATATAATTTAATTATATTATATTATTTTAAATATGTATATCTGGGAATTTCGTGGGAAAATTATTAAAATAGCAATTGGCGTATCATGTCCAAGACATTATAATATATACTACATAAAAATGCAATTAAATTTCGTTTAATCAATAAATAATCGTTTATGATGATAAACCTACTTAGATATTACACAGAAATTTAAATACTCCATCTACGCATCTTAAAAAAATAAACTTAAATCTGTATTAAAATGTATCGTGTTATTGGAATTTTTCAGATCTTAAATATAAATAATAACAATTTTGTTTAGTACGTTCTCTATATTTTTAGTTTTTTTTTACTAATACAAGAATTTCAATGGATTTGTTGAGTTATGAATATTTACAAAGATATTTTCAAAACATTATTGTATTGATAATATTGTTTCAAGTAAACATTAAACATATTTTAATCATGCGATAAAAAAAAAAAAAACCTATAATAACTACATAAATAATTCATAAAATGAAGTTGTCTTTAAATTAGGTATATTGAACTTTTAGCGTCTAATATTGAATAACTTTTTGAAGCAATATGCGAATTATTTTAAAACATGTGTTTTCCCAATAACATGGACATTTATTCTTTACATAATGAAGACAATTTTCCTCTATTGACTTAACGAGTGAAAGTTCAGCATACTTAGTTGAATCGTATTTTACTCAATCGGTACTATATTTTTTTATTTTAGGATTTATTTAGATTTTTCAGAAAACGTTAGTTCCATTTTACATTGACGTAAAGTTATGTAAATTTAATATCACATTATGTATTTAATAATATTTTATAGTGTTTTATATTTTTCAAACACATATTTTCAATTTCTTGGAAATAAAACTGCAATATTATAATATTATGTATCAATACGATCTTCCAATACTTTATCGATACATTATTTAGAAATAAAAAAAATTAAAACACTTATTAAAATATACCTAACCTTTTTGAATTGTATACTTTTGTTCTCTATTAATTTAATTAGAAATAAAAAAAATTAATACAAGTATACATAATATCTACGTTTTTTTATTCCATTCATCTTATTAGTATAGGTAGGTACCGAAATTTACTTATATTTATCATAGCTGCTTAAAAATCTTTTTAATTTTCCTTTAGAACGATGCTAACCAAAATCATCTTGTTTATCTTTAAGATTCCAAATAGTTTTAATTTTAAAATTTTTTAAATATCAGATACAATGAAAGTGCTTTGTTTAATTATTTTACCGAGTAAAACGAACTCACAAGTAGAAAATATATTACAATATATTTTCTTCTAGTTATAATTAATTCAGTTTAAATTTGCATAGTATGGATAAACACGTATAGTGAGAAAACTAACTTTAGAAACAACATCTATAGGCGTATTTAAAATAAACAATTATTCTTGGTGTAAAAACTTTTATAAAATTAAACATACCAAAGAGTAAATTATATCTAGTTTAAAACGAATAATTCATAATCTAATATATTATGACCTATACAATAATTTTATTTAAATTAGGCCTCTTAAATAGTTTACCTATATAACGTTTTATTAAAGTACCTATTTAAATCATTTTGTTAGAGTAATCCGAACTCTGTTAAATACTAAATCCCATCAAAATTTTAAACGAATCACAATTTGTTTTTCACCAAGATTGACGTTATAAATTTGTCTTCCTTATTACTATTTGACACAAATAAATTTATAATTTATATCATAAGATTTTTTTCACATTAAACATGTTATGTCAATAAATTAAATAAAAATAACACACTGAAAGCTCATCTCTTCATATATTATACTTTTGTATAATATATGAAAATAAAAAATAAATAAGTATGCTATGTTAATTGTCAGTTAATAAAGTTAATGTGATTGGTTAAAATGTATTTAGTCATGCAATCACATAGATACCTACTATGGATGAGTATACTATGGTATTAGAATATTATGTAAATAAAAACATTCTGATGTAATATAATATTATTATTTACATATAATATAGATAGTAGGTAGCTATTCCTTATAAATTAATTTATATAGAAATGTAATGTTTGTATCTATTTTATATAATATATATATATATATATATGTATATACTTACAGTACCTAATATGATATACTGATATAAACTAAATCAATTGGTTAAGTCATTCAACATCATATTAAACATTGTTATTCATTTTTTTTTTTTTTTTTTTTTTTTTTTTTTAAGCATACACATAATTAATTCTATACGTCAAATAACATGATATTTACTCAAATAATACCATTTTTTTCAAAATAACTATTTACAATCTATGACTAAAATGAAAATGTGAAAATATAAGCAATGATT